TTGTATTATGATAGCTGAAACTTTAGTCATACAATTTTTAATATGTGATCATAATAATTAAAAATTTTCATATAACATTCTTAAAGTAAATTAACATAATAATAATATTTTATATAGTATGGAACATAGGTAAAATATGATATATTAAGTTAAAATATAAATAATGTTATTTATTAATTGAACAGTAAAGAAATTTAGATATTTTCTGCATAAATTAAATTATTATTTTTTAACCATATTCTTACTGTCTACTTTGTTGCAWTTAATTAAAAATCTTCAAGAACTGTTATGTTTATTTATTTTAAAATATGTAGATTATTAAATACATAACCTATACAAATATTTATGTATTAACTTCAAAAAGACATGTCATGTTATTTTGATAAGCAGAGTGGTATTTATGTTATACATACAATATAAGTATAAATATATAAATACAAATTAAAACTGTTACTAAAAACAAGTATCAAATGGATTATTTCAAAAGTACAATACATTACTTTTCTATTACTTATGTTATTTGAACAAATAATTTTGAAAAGGCATTTAAAAATTTGGCAAACAGGTGGTTACATGATTTTAAAAAATATTTTAAGATTAATAACTGTAAATAAAAGCATAAATTATAAATCAATAAAATTAAAGAAATGTTAAGTTTGTTATATCAAAATCATTTTTGTAATGTTTTAATCACAGTTTCTTCAAATTTAACTTTTTTATCAATTCGAATGTGTTCAATTCCATCTAAACTTTTTAATACAATCCAATGAGGTACTTTTTCTTGGAGAAGATGTATATGAGCTTTCCATTCGTCTAAAATAATGATAAAAAAATTTAAAAAAAAAAAAAAAAATTATAAATCAATAAATTAAATGAGGAACGCAGATATTTAATTACGGTCTGTCATAGCTTCAGGATAACTCTGCTTCAATTGACCAATGACTTTTTCAAATGGCATAACATTTCTTTGAAGTTGTACAAAATAGGTACGCATCCTTCTAGCAATATCTGGTAATCTGTTCATCATTCTATCTTCATCTAATTGATCTAGCGATTGGGTCATCAATTCTTTTGCTTTTTCCGCCTGCTTTTCCTGAATCTTTTAATAAATATTTAAGTATACATGTTAAACTATAAATATTTAAAAAAAACCTTTAGTAAAAATGATTTAGGAATCCCTTTAAGTGCTCCTTCTAAAGCATTTTTTGCGTCTGTTGTTGGAAATTTTTTTTCAGTTGAATTTTTATTTTCATTGTTCATTGTTGTGAGAGTCCGATTTAAACGATTATTGTAAACAAACAATGTATGAGATTTGTCTAGAAAAAAATTAAACAGTCATTAATGTATAACCATTTTCAAACAGTTAATTGACATAATTTAAATATTTTTRTTGAGCTAATTATTAAATACCCAATAAATCTTTTGCCGTTACTATTTTTGGTTTGTTTATTTCAATTTTGGGCAATGTTGAAGGAATGATATCTTCCACAGTTTCAACATCAAACTCAGGATGCCATCTGGTTATTTTATCTTTGTCAATCACWATAGGTGGAATTAGATTTCTCAAATATTTCTAGAAAAAAATAAAAAATAATTATTTTAATAAAATAAAATTAGCTACAATTATTTTTTAACTATACTTCATGATGCTCCTTCAAAATGTCAAGTAGTGCATTAGAAAATGACTTTTTCCTCTGAGTTGTTAGTTCAATCAAGTTTATGTTATCTTCGTTCACTGAGCCTAATTATCATATCAAAATTCAATTTCCGTAAATATACAATGAATTACTATATCAAATATTTACCATAATTAGGAGTTATCACTAATTCAAAACTAGATTTCTCTTTTGTTGATTTTACTAATGCAAACTTAAAGAAATCTGGTACAACAGTTTTAATTTGTGCCAAATGCAATTCAGTAAAATTTCTAAAAAAGAAAATTAGTAAAATGTTGAAAAGTCAAACGTAATTTGCTCATAACATTATTAATTAAAATATAATTTAATATTTAATTTACTTTCTAGTCATTTGCTGAACACCACGTTTGAGTTTATTAAAAGTTATCTTTTCTTTTCTACCAAACATCATAGATGAAACAGTTTCCAAAGCTTTGAATAATTCATCCAAAATACGGTATTTCAAAGGCATAGGTAATGCTTTAGAATCAGCCAACGCAGCATATCGTTTTGATGGTGACATAGCCAAAAGAGATCCTACTTCATCTAATAACTTTCTAGGCG